AACTTTCTAGATATCTAGTTCGTGTGTTGATGCATTCTAATGTAACTATCCAACTGCAGCAATATTTTTTGACCTTCACTTAACTTTTCTTTAAATCGGTGATTAGCTTTATTTTAATGAAACCATTCAAGTTGTGTAATGAAACTTCACATGATGATACATACTAATGTAAGCTTTACAACGCGGGTGTGACCGGTCAGCAGGGGATGCTCACTCCTCCAGAGCACCTGATCCTACCTCTGATGTTTTGGAGGTCCGTGTTTGCTCTGCTCCTATTCTATATTGTTTTATGGACTTTTAGAATAAATAATGTTCGTTATCTCCATATCCTTCTAACTTTTAAACTCCATTATACATATCCTTGTATATGTTGTCTAAGCCTATTTCTCTTGACACGACATGATCAATTCCAATGTTACTTGATGTACACATATGACCTTATTGATGGTAGATTTAATCAGAATGACAGTTAAAAAATAACAATGAAAACAATTAATTCTTATATTTACACGTTTTTTTTTCATTTTCTAATGTTCAATAACATATCTTAATCTTAATATTTTACAATAACTGCTGTTCTTCACTTTTGCAGGGCAAAATAATAATGTTTAGCGGAGATTTTGTTAATAGACAATTACATGATGTATTTTAAACAATTACATTCACGTCGTAATTTACCAAACTATATCATTTTGCCCTGCAAAAGAGCAGTAAAGGCCGTGAAACGGTCTATAAAAACCAATATTACGGAAAATTGTTTAAACATTGACGTCGTCTCACCTTCCATGACGTCATAATGTATCACTGATTCATTCAAGGTAAAAAATTCTGCATGTTTCCTTATTAACCTTGCTGAGATGTTCTAGCAGAAATATGTTATATGCTTAATTTGTAGTTTGTAGAATAATTTCTTTTAAAGAACTGAGTAGCTTAATTTTAAGCATGTGAACAACAAATAAAAAACACCTTCATGAAGTCTTTAATATTCTGATATTTCATGAAATATTGAATAAAATCTAGAATGTTACATTTTATACACACAATTACATGCATGGTAACACTTTTGAAAATAATACGATTAATTATTTTTTTCAAATTTGCAAAAAAATAATCCAGAAAATACCACTTCTATCTTTCATATGAATAAGCATAATCTTCAAAAACAAAAAGCCCTCAATCGATTGGGAAAAAATCAGATTTCATATTAATATAAATGATAGTAATATCTGTAAAGGAGAGCTAAAACAGGAATCGCAAGAGGCTCAATCCCATTCACTGTCAATTGTGAATAAAATTTTGTATAAACTGATTCTAAAAAAAATATGAAATTTGTGCCAGTTGCTAAAAGTATTTATTTTTAATTGTCAAGGAATCAAGAAAAAAATTATTGACAAGAAACATATATCTGACTAACAATGAATTTTATTTATCTGACATAACATTGAAATTTATATACCAATACAATTTTATGATGAAATAGAAAATGTTGCTATTGTATCCAAAACAAGTTTTGTTAGCTGTTAACCGTTTATTATAAATATTTTCTTTCGTTTTGTTAGAGTTAATGTGGTAGTCAAAATTGAAATTCTTATTAGGAAATTCAAAACAACACATAGTTTCAATAACAAATTCAGCCTGGCTTATTGCCAGGCTGAACTTGTTATTGAAACTATGTGTTGTTTTGAATTTCCTAATGAGAATTTCAATTTTGACTACCACATTAACTCTAACAAAACGAAACGTATTTTGCCGATTACCCTTATTGGGTAATCGGCAAAATACAATCAATACAAAAAGAAAGATCATGACAAATATGAGAAACATTTAACTATCTCCATATCCTTATCTAATGACCTTTGTTTTTGAAAGTTCATCATGAAATACACATCTGCATGTATGCACAATGAGTCATTGATAAATTGACTTTTGTAGTGAAGTAGCTTGTATTCTTAATACAATAAAAATTTGTTTAATACATACGCTAAAATATAAAATAAATTTACGAAGATAACAAACAATATTCAAGCTCAAACATCAAATAAACTATACACGATCAGACAAGATCAAACACGTGCCTCAGAAACATCAGAGGTGGGTGGGAACAGGTGCCCTGGTGTACTTACATTTTTTACATTTCTTTATATATACATTTGTGGTATCTCTCCATTATATAAACATACAGAAAAAAAATATCTTCAATTCTGTATGAAGTTTGTCAGAGGTCAGAGGTCAAAACGTGACCTAATCGCACGGCGCAATGATATCTACCGGTACATAAATTATAAAAAGCCCTGCTCTGCTCCTGCTCTACTTGCTTTTCGTGTATAAAAATGAACAAAATAAGCAAGTAAAATGATTATTATTTTATTTAAAATGTAAGCAAGTTTTTCATACAGTTTTTGGGCTATCGATTCAACCTGTGTACATAGAGAAAACTAGGAGCCTAGCGTTTGTTTACATTTTTCTTCATTATGTCAGCTGCAGTCTCTAACGTTCATCCTTATTTTTGGGGGTAGACTTTGGTTAAATTTAATGATAATTTTTTATTTTATCTTTAAATTTTACTCACGATAAATGTGTAAATCTGTTGAAAAATATTGCAATCATGCCATGAACAACTGCCAAACATCTCGGCATTTTCGTAGTTCAATGTAAAGCTGTCGCCAGTGTCTCCGTGTTTATCAGTGTTTTACGATAAGTATGCCTTTAGTTACTGAAACCGTAGAATGTTTTTAATCAAATTACAAATAAACTGGCTCGGACAGGTGTCTCAATCCATCGAATCCATCCATTCCTTTCCGGCGACCGAAATTCCTCCAACTTTTTATCATCAAACTTCGGACGTGTTTCTTGTGTCTTTTCAGCATCGATTATCATTTTTCACGAATAAAAGTATTCCCAGACAGCAGTCTGTTCACCATTACTGATCACAAGTAGCCTTTAACAAAATATTCCCTTCGAAATAGATTCCTTAGCATAATGAATTCGAAGCGTAACCGCCATGCAAGCCGATTTACACCTTGCGTCATTTTCAAAATCTACTACAGACGGTTAGTGCAATAATTTAAATTCGAAAATATGCAAATTGTCTCTCTCAAATGTATATATAAGTAATAAATAATAAGTTTATAAACTTCAATGGGAATTGAAGTGGGTCCTGATTAATCAAATCTTCTGAGAAGGCCTTCGGGCTTCACAGGATTTGATCACGTGACCGACCCACTTCAATTCCCATTGAAGTTTATAAACTTGTTATTTATTTCTTAATTACATGTATCAATATATGACCACTCAAAGACACACAGATACACAGAGAGACAAATATGCTCTTCCTTTAAATGTGTTTAATACAATATTATCAGTCTGTTGACGTCAAAGTTAGCAATTTGTTCAGAAAACAAAACACAAAGATCTTCATTAAAAAATATACAAAAGAAAAGGTTATGTGGGAGTAAACGTCTGATGGTGAAGTAAATATCTGTTATAAACGTGACATGACGTCATCACTTTCTCAGTCTTGGTGCCTCAGGTCCATAATATCTTGTTCCAGGCTTCCCTCGCTGAGTCGTAGTATTGCCTGTAAAAATAATTTAGATTTTATCAAAAAAGAAGAAAACTAATAAGTTGAGATTACAAGAAATTTGGCAGATATATCTGTCTCTCCTACAGAAATATAATATTTGGCCGTCATAATACGTGTATTTCCATCAATAAGAAAGGAACATATATTAATAAATCACTACATTTGGCAAGAAAAGATGCTATTAACATGCATGTGAAAGATAAAAGATTTTTGTTTCTTGTACTAAGCAACATATAATCACTACGTACCCACTAATTGATGATACATCACTATGCAGTGCAGGAATACATGTAACTTTTTCATTTTGACATAATTCAAATTGAAATATACTAATGATGGAAACACTTTAAAATTCATCTTTCTGGATTTTAACTTACAATGGTTATATGTTACATTGTAATTTAGATGTATCATATATTATATCACCTGACATAAATCTCTCCACTTCTCGCGACAGTCCTCTTTCTCCATGACACTGGTTGCCGGAGTTTTATGTTTAGCCTCGTTCCTATAAAATCGGATCCTCTCTACGTCATTGGTTGGAGATTTTTGTCCCGCTTCCGGTGTTTTCCCCCAGCCTTTGGTCGGGGTAGGAAGGTTTGGTCCGTAGTTCCTCAACAGTTTGTACATAATGGGCACATCGAATACAGTAGAGGTTGGAATCGATTTATCTACTGTATAATCATATGAAAAACAATTATTTTCAAATAGCATTGAATAAACTGAATGAATTTAGATTCATAATAAAAATGGTGAAAGTAAAAAAAAATTCTCAGCTCAAGATAATATGCGACACTTAAATTTGATTTTTTTTTTACAAATCTGTATTTGGTGCGTGCGGGTCATACTGTTTAATCTAATAAATTCATACATAACAGTCTCGTACTTCGCTATAATAACCCTGCCTGTTTTAAGCTCAAAATAAAAGAATACGTATTTAACTTCTACATTTAAAGTTAAAAATTTAATTTTTACAAATACATGTATAAAAAAAATGGCATTAGAAAAACTTTAAAAATATTACAGTCAAAATGAGAAGAACATACGTAGCTAAAAAATTCTAAGTGTTTGCTTCGGTGATGAAAAAGAAAAGCAACCAATAAAGTTTCAAGGTTAAACTTTATTTTCTTATTCCCTGTTAAATGTAAAAGTTCCAGTTACTGAAGGACCTTTAGAAATTTTATGATGTCTGCTCATATTGCCACCTCCTCTAAATCATTTTTTAAATACACACCAAAATTATGTTCAAGACATTTTTCTTTTAAACAAGATGTGTTTGTGAAACACTATGCGCCAGGCGGCAACAAAGTTACAAAAAACTATTTTTAGCATATAGGTCACGGTCAAGGTCACAAGGTCATTGATATTAATGTTATTTCAAAAAAAAACTTTAGTAGTGGAGTATGCATACCAAATATGACGTTTATATCTGAAGTCTATATCTTCTATGGTTCAAAATTTATGACGAAAGTTCGAAAATAATTATTTATAGCATTAAGGTCACAGTCAAGGTCATAAGGTCAGTGACTTTGGTGTCATTTGTATGAGCTTCATTCGTGAAGTATGCATATTAAATGTGAAATCCCTATCTCCTATGCTTCAAAAGTTCTGGCAACAGTTTGAAAAAGCTATCTTTAGCATGTAGGTCACAGTCAAGGTCACAAGGTTACTGTCCTTGGTGTCTTTTGAAAGAACTTTAATAGTGGAATTAGCATACCAAATATAAAGTCTCTATATCTCAAGGTTCAAAAGATATGGAGAAGGTTAAAGTTTTCAGCAGACAGACAAACAGATAAACAGACAGGATAAAAACAATATATGCCTTGGATCTATCGATCCGGGTGCATAAAAAACTGCACTTAAATCATTTTTATGAAGTATAAACTTTTGGCAACGTATGCTGATTTTCTGTGTAAGAGCATTTTTGATACCTTAATTAAAAAAAAAAATCAGAATCTCTTAGAGAATCAGTGGGAATTATACATTGTCGAGTTTGTGTACATGTACGTTGTATGTGTCCTTAAATTCCAGAATACCTGGAAACAGTTGATCACATTGGTCTGTATCAAGCTGTCTACGTAAGTTATTTTTCTCCTTTTGAAGTAACATAAATAGCTCTGCCGGAGGAAAGACTTTGTCAAAGTATCTCTGGAGAGCTTCTCTGCCCAGCTTTGTGAATTTTTCAAAACACTGGAATCTATATATTCTCATTTCGGCTTCTGGAAGATTCCTAAAAGCCCCCTTTTCAACTAGAGCGTCTGGGTCTAGAGTAAAGAAGAAATGCATACAATTCCAATGAAAGAAATTTCAAGGTCATTTATGAATGAATGAGGCAAGTTGAATAAATATTTTTATATGATTACCTGTTGACTCTGCAAGAACATCCTGAAAAAATGAAACGAATTTTGAAAATATATCAAATATTTCTGCAAAATAACAAATTTGCAATAAAAATCAAACCTTGTTTTTAGGAATGTTTAGTAAAATCAAAACGATGTTATTTTTTAATGCTTTCTTTTTATACATCTGTATGATGATACGCCATATACTAATAGTCTAATATAAAGCTTACAAATATAGAGTCCTACATATTAGATGCTGCAAAATATACTGTATATAAGTTGTCGTCATAAAAGGTTTCAATCCTCTATTGTAAAATACAAACTCTTTAATGCTCTACAAACAATATTTCATAAAATTTGACTACGTTAAAAGGATTTTAATTCAAATATATTTTTGCTTTAATTTATATAGATATCTAAGAAATGAATTCAATTTAAGCTAGACTATATAACATATAAGTATATATAAATTGTATCCTTTTTTAAGGATAAATAATACACTTTTTTTCATAAATTAGCAATATTTCTCACAGATTTACATTTTAATTGGTAACCTGAATAATCTGTAACTAGTATAATTGAAGATTTTATCATAAGGTTATAAAGTTTGTGCAAAATTTAGTGTGGAATTATATAGAAAGCGAAACAAACTCTCATATCTATGCACCAATGAAATCCTACAATTTCCTTCTTCTTCAGGGATTTATTAATTATGTTATTTCAAATCAAAATCAGTCAACAAATATATATCAATCCTTGCATCAAATTTGTGTTTGTGTTAAATACAAATTTTGGAATATCATATTTTCTATATTCTTGGCATTTTTTAAAAGTAAAATTTAAATCAAGGTAGAGGCTTGCAGTCAATTAAAATAAATCTCAAGTTAGTTTGTTAAAAAAAATAATTTCAAGAATTTTGTATCAGTGTATGTACTTAAGGACATGTAGACCCTTTGAACTGAGTGCAACATGTTAATTTGCATAAATAATGTATATTAGATACTTTGTATGCCTAATGACACAATAATAAACAAATATCTTCGTGCTAAATTATTTTCAATCAACCAAAATGGAACACAAAGAGCTGTGTATCACATGTTTTTTACCATATACAGTGTATGCACCACCTCACATTAAATTTATATTAAAACTGATAAAAATCAGAAATATTTATTGGCCAAGAAAAGATGTTCAAATTATTATTTTTTTGTAATATGGGTTCGACACACTTTTTTTCCTATTTTGGTAGTCTAAAAGCAACATATATAATGTCGCTTTCTTTTCTGGGATAAATACAGGTGGTGTAATATGATTGATTGTATACTGTTTAACGTCTCTCCCCAGAATATTTCACTGATATGGAGACGTCACCATTGCCGGTGACGGGCTGCAAATTTGTGCCTATGCTCGGCAATTACGGCCTTTGAGCAGAAAGGGATCTTTACACCTGCTGTGACACGGGGCCTCGGTTTATACGGTCTCATCCGAAGGACCGCCTCATTTATTCGCCTTTTTCGACAAGCAAAGGGGTACTGAGGACCTATTCTAACCCGGATCCCCACGGGGCAAGTGGTGTAATATAAAACTAAGGAAAACTACATTACATGAGCAAATTTAAATGAATACTGTCAAAGTTTTCAAATTTAAAATTAAACACAAGAAAGACATGAATTTTTTTTTCAGGTTTTCTTAACATTCAACAAGTAAATATTTTTGAGTGCATCAGTTTGTGCATGTTTGTGTGTAAGTGTGTTAATATGTATTTATACATATTTACTTGTAAAACACGAATTACTATTACCAAGTTCCAGTAAAATAGAAGAGCCGAATCATTTAGTATGTGGCTGTTAATCAATTCATGTCTGGGGCAACCCATAGAGCCTTTTGATATTAACTCTTTTTCTTTAACAAAACAATCGTCATGTTCATGAAATACTTCCTGTTTCGAACACTGGAACCCAACAGTATACATGTCGATTTTTTTGTGAAAAATCTTCAGCAAATCATCTAATAAGCGTTCGACTGTTTTTCGAACTTCCAAAACAACTTTTTTGGTAACCGGGGTATTTGTAGGTTGAAAAACCTGTAGTTGTATGGAGGAGGTGTTCACTGCCAGAGCGACAGCATGCTGCTTATAAGCAAAACAAGCAACATTTTTGTACAGGCAAAGTCCACTATCTTCTAAAACTCTCCATTCCGTGTTGGTCCTTGCCAAGCAGGAAACGATAAGACGAAAGTAGAAAAAATATGGTAAGAATTCAAACCGAAAGACCAACACAGGCGTTTTATATTCTAAAGAGTTGAAGAAGTTTTCCTCAGCGCTTCCAAATGTGCGCTTATTCATGCAAGGGATATAATGAGCAACTGTACCGACAGAAATCAAACCTAGACGTTCCATATATCGAAGGAGATCTTCCTTGTGCTGATATCTATTCCAGACATTTGGTTCGAAGTGTCTTAATCTCCATATGTTTGTCAAAAGTCTATCTAAAATATGACCGCTTTTGTAAAAGTCATTCAAATCACAACTGTTTTCTGCAACATCCCTGATGTGGTTTGGATCAGTAATTATGTTCTTGAAGGAATCAACAAACCACTGGATATCCAAAATCACTGTGGCAGACAGTGCACCTTCATTAAAGTTCAGAATGACCCCTATATCATGGTAAAATTTCAGGATGTCTTCCATTTGTGCACATTTTGCTTTATTTCTATTGAAGCAAACCTCGTATAATTGGTTGACTGACATTATTCTAAACCTGTTTTTTCTCAATTCTCGAAAAACAACTTCACATAAAGCCCAGTCAGTGGGAATGCTTTCTTTCCATCTTTCTTCTCTTGTAATTTCAATAATACACTTTTCTAAGTCTGAAAATGTATCATTAAAAGAGTCACCGTCTGCATGGAAACCAAGAACGAAGCACCTCTTCCTGTTTAAGTGTCCCTTCAAGTGTTTGTTGAACTGCAGGTGATCCAGTATTTTGTTGTAGAAGGTATCAGAATTCTGAAACAATAAATCATACACCTGTACAAAATAACCTTTCTATAGAATGAGTTCCTTTGCAAACTTTGTTTCTTTTTAAAAGTCGGTGTTTGTTAATGTTAAAATAATAGATTTTATGACTGCATTAGCAGCACAGTTATGGCTACAAAAAAGGGGAAACCTAAATTGTACAGTACCCGCATCGTTATTCTTTACAAATATATCGTGTCTTATCGTGCGTGTATCCTATCTTATCGTGCGTGTATCCTATCGTATCCTATCGTATCGTGTTTTCCGTTTATCGTGTTTTGCGTTTTCTATCGTGTTTTCTGTTTATCGTGTTTAGCGTTTATCCTGTAGATCGTTTATCAGGTTCTATCGTGTATCGTGTTTTGCGTTTATCGTGTATATTCGGAAACCCTCGCTTTTTATCATTACTACAGGAAGAGACTACTGAGATATTCCGAGTTTCTTTTTCGTTTCGTTAACTAAAATAAGATTATTTTAACCAAGAAAGAGAAAAGAAAGTTTTATCCCTTAGTTTTTCATCATTAAAAGAAATATTAAAGCGTGGAAGGAAAAAGGAAAAGAATAAATATATAAATAAAATAATTTATAAATTAAATAATTAATAATAAAATAAATTAAGAAAATACTCATATCAAATTCAAACAGAGAATCAAAATTTATTTTTTAAAATGAAATTATTGATACCCTGTTTCTTTTTAAATTCATCGAATTGTATGATTTTTTGGTCAAAATTAAATATAAAAAAGATTTTTCAATTAGTCAGAGTCACTAGAGGACGATTTTCGGTAAGTCACGGTGTATACGTACCCCCACCCCCGAAAAATTATAAATAGCTGTGGATTGAATATAGATTATACAATTTATTGATTTAAAAAAAATTCATTTCCTTGCTTGAATTTAAATTTAAAAAAATCTAATAAATCAATTTAATGAAACAAAGTTCCTTAACTCAATCCGCTGATTTATTTTATTTCTACGATGTTTCTATAATGTTTATGTAAATAAGTCCTTTCACGAACTTAAAAAAAAATACTGCATTTATGGTACATGGACTTTCATCAGGTTACAGACAGAATTAATTCTATGAAACAATTGCTTTGATCGTAGAAAAGATTAAAATATGTCTAACATTCTAAACTATGAAAATTTGCTCGCATTCATTTTTTTCGACGTTAACGTTATTTTACTAAAATAATAAAAAAGAAGGTTGATTCCGCCGTGACAATGCAAGACAAGTAAATGTATTTCACCCAATCAATTTATAGTATAAATCGATTTAATTCCATACGTATATAACTTTATTCAAGATATTTATATTAATTTTTGACTATTTGGTTAGATAATGTTTATAAAATTTTAAATTGGTTACGGACTTTCAACATAATGCCCTTCGAATATGCCGTATATGAGATTACCGGGCAAGTCTAAAATAATTTTCAGGGTTTAATAATTTATTTGCATTAGAAACAATACACATAAAGTTTAATTTCAATGATTTTTAATTATTTAGTCGTAAAAGTAGCATTTTACCCTTTTAATATTTGTTAATAAATTCTTGTGTTTTGTATTATAAAGAAAAAAGTATTTTATCATTCAATGTTCGTTAATTAACACGAGGTTTTAAGTATCTGATTCATGAATGTTTACATGTACATAAATGAGAACTTAGCGTAAAGGTACATGTACATGTACAGGTGCATTTGTAGCAGATTCATATTCTGTTGACACAGTTAACATGTATTAATGCAGAGCGCCACTATATTAACAATTATTTAGATTTCTACTCAGGAAATTAATTTTCTTGAAATATATAGTTTTATAAAGCCGAATTCTTTGGACCTTTCTTTCGGCAGATCCTCTACATGTATTTTTTCCCCCAAAGATTTTAATATTTAATTGCATTTTTGGATAAACCGCAGATTCTAAGCTTTATACATTACATACAAATATTTAATTTATTGTTTGAATTTCTTCCGTGAAAATACTTGTAGATAAATTTATTGGTAACAAACGTATATTTTTTTCATAAATAATGAATATATTTATAGAGTTTCATAAATTAAAAAAAGATACAATCTCCATTTAATAATAATCCATTTAATCATTGCCAAAAAGATTATATAAATAAACAACTTTTGTAAAATTACCAGTTATCTCAATATTTTTATTATAATAATTAAAGGTACTTTATAATTTAGATTTGAAGCTTTGCAAGTATTTGATTTAAAATATTGCAGCAAACTTAACAAAATAATCTTTTCGTCTAGTCAGAAAACGCTCCGCATTTTGAAACAATCCTACCAGGTTTAGCGTTTATCCTATCCTGAAGTTCGTTTATCAGGTCTATCGTGTTTTGCGTTTATCGTGTTTTGCGTGTATCGTGTTTTGCGTTTATCGTGTTTTGCGTTTATCCTATCGTGCGTGTATCCTGTCCTATCGTGCGTGCATCCTATCGTATCGTGCGTGTATCCTATCGTATCGTGCGTGTATCCTATCGTATCGTGTATCCTGTAAAGAATAACGATGCGGGTTCTGTAAGGGAAAACTTTACTATGACATCATACAAATATATACTCATTCGACAATTCTTAAGAATACCACAAATGATGTGATGTGCTATTGTAATTTGTAGAAAAACTTCAAACTACATCAAAACTTACTACAACGTGTTTTGAGTCGTTAGTTAAATCCCGCATAAGAAGTCATAAACAAGTCACTGATTGCAATCCACTTGTCGATGTGACGTCATTTCGTAAAACGTAACGCAGTTTGTATGCAGTGAGAGGCAGATCAAGTAATATTTTCTTAACGAAAAATGTTTTCTATGATAAAATGAAATACTGTAAAACGAGAAAATTTGGAGCATACATATTTTAGCGCAAACGCAAGTGGGAATGCATTAGCGCAAATAAATTTTAGCGCTTGCACTTGTCAGAAAAAATATATAAATTTGATACTAGTACGAGGGTTAATCCAAAAGTAATGTCACGACTTCGATAAAACTGCTATCAGTCGACGTAAAACAACAAAATTATAAATGATGGAAGCTACATTTATTTCAAATCAGACTTGAAAATTTCAATTCAACATGATTTATACTTTTTAAGATATCGGATTATATATAACGTGTGATTATGGTAGTCGCCGCACCTAAATAACGTCATAATTATGACGGATACGCACTGTCATACACTTTCACCGCTTCGCTTCTTTTCAAATAAAAATTTGAAATTCGCAAACACATTCACAGATTTCAATTTGTAAAGAATTCTTGGTACCCTTCGTACGCTCACTTTTCCATCATTAATTCCTCTGTAAAAAATTGTTATTTGCATTAGACCAACTTATAATTTTACATTTCATTTTAACCTTCTGTATTTTTGACAACGTCACACGCAATTGAAGGTTTCCATCCACTCTCCCATCTTTCGGTTTTCTTGTCATCTGCTGAGCAATCAATGACCCATCAACCATCCAAAATCGCTAAAACCATGCATCTAAACGACTCTTATTTACATCCTTTCCTCTGTAAGACTTGTGAGTCAACCTAACTGTCTCTACTGCCGATTTCCCGATTTTAAAGCAAAAATGGATTACAGTTTGTTGTCATTAATGTGGCGATTTCCTTCCATTTCGACATTTCCTTTGATCAATGCATCAAAGTAAAAAAACAATGTGTATGATAAAAATAGCAATGGTGTCTTTTAATTTTCAACTTGAGAATAGAAAAAATGGTATATTTTGTCTTTTTAAAATTTTGGGAGATTAGGTTATTTGTAAAGATACTTAGTTAATGTGTTTGTCTTTTTCATTCTCAAAAAGTACACTTTATTTCGTGACGTTTGGGTGTGACGCGGCGACACCCACTATGTTCTTTATTTTGAACGTTTATAAAATAAATTCACTTAAACATTCTTAGATGAAAATTTCAATGTTAATTGGATTTATGATTGTGCATCTTTTGGTATATTGTATCTGATATTATGACGCCAAATATTAAAGATATGGACACAGTGACATTACTTTTGGATCAACCCTCGTATTCTGTTTTCATTTTTATCCACACCCACATTATTACTCGCGTATATCAGTAAACATTCGTTAACTTTACCGCGGTACGTGTTGCTATCACATGGACATGGCACAATGTTAAATATAATTTTATTTCTATTTTCTATTAAAATATTTAAATTCATATTAAAGCAATGCATGCATCGACAGAAAATTACTTCGATATACAGTACCGACCGGACACAACCTAACAGAAAGCGAACCCGGAGCGGACCCCGGGTTCGCTCTCTGGGTCCGCTCCGGGTTCGCTCGGGGTCCGCTAGGGCTGACCCCGAGCGAACCCGGAGCGGACCCAAAGCGAACTCGTAGTGGACCCCGAGCGAACCCGAGGCGGACCCAGAGAGCGAACCCCAAATTCAGTAGCGGTCCCAGCGAGCGAACGCGGGTTTGGTATTTCTTTACGGAGCTGTCAATCAGGATTAGCGATTAACCAATCAGTGCGACAACCAATCAAAATAGCATATTGATCTGTCGATTGGGATATAAGTTTGAACGTGTTGATATAATTTGATATAAATCTAAACACTACATACAAGCAAACCGTGTTAATGTGCTGTGTGAATCTATTATGATGATTAAAATACGTTTTGGTATTATTTATTTTAATTCTCCGGGTTGTATTTTATATTTATATATTTACTTCTTTTATTTTATTAAAGCAATTAATTAATTAAATGTTTTAATTTTCCACGTAGAATTATACATGAAAATTTACGTTTTTATTTCCTTTAGTTTTTTTATACCAGTGTTGAAAGTCCATTTGGTAAATAATTTGGGTAAATACATCAGTCAATGCATAAAAATGGAAATCAATTGATATTACAAGTAATATTTTACTGATAAAAAGAGGAGAAAAGAAATAGTTGGTCTTCGACAATTATTGTAAAATTTCAATTTCTCAAGATACTAACAGTTCAGGAATATTAACTAGCTCAATATTTAAATATAAATAGATACAGGAAACATCGAGACGAGAGAGAGAGAGAGAGAGAGAGAGAGAGAGAGAGAGAGAAAGAGATCATCACTGTAAACTCTCATTATTAGACTTGATTTAAATAATAAAGCTTGATGACTTACTTAAATTTCTATGAGTCGTCCTCCAAATATTGTACTCAAATTGTTTTCTATAAGCCTGCTGCAGCTATTTTTTTTAATATACATGTATAAGAAGATGTATATAAAGCACTAAGAATCACCAACAGTTTTCGGGACGCTCTGTCCCTTCCGCGGGACAAAGAAAAAAGTTTAAAAGTCATAAGATCAAAGGAAAAAGAGAAACCAAAAACAACTAGCACTATAAACACTATACGAGGGTTGTCCGTAAAGTTCGTGGACAAGCCAAAAATTTAATAAAAGTTGAGTCATTGATATTTATTATTGGCATATTTATAATCCTTTACTTAAATGTGAATTGAATAATGTAAAAATTTATTCAATTTCAAATGTTTAATAACAATTATGGCTTCATAATTAGACTTGGAATGGAGACCCGGAGCAACGCAAAATTTTAATTAAAAAAATATTTATCACTTTTTTAAATTTCATTTGTATTTTAAGAAATTCTTGGGAAATCTGAAAGAATTTTACATTATTAGGTTGACAGAAGTTATCACGTCAAACCTGCAAAATTTGAACGTTCAAAGTTTCAAAATGGCTGAGCAATCAGCGTTAGAACTTATTAAATCAGGGTCAGAAACGTTCAAAAAGAGACGTTTTCGGAATAGGTGGAGCAGTGAACAGTGATAAAATTCTGCGTTGACACCGGAAAGACACCTACAGAGATCAATACATTCTGTGAACAATCGGGAAAACATAGTAAAAGAAGTCGTTCACTAGTATTTAAGTTGCATATAATATTTTCGGACGGAATGAACAGTTTACAGGATGACATGCGTGAAGGAAAACCATTATTCCGTGGTTGCAGTGCTGTAAAATATGAATTTCGTAACGTGATCATGCCGTATTTCCGTAAATGAAATCGTCTTTACACGGACGGTGGTTGGATGATTGCAGGATATGAGACAGGCATTGTTAAATATTATTTTAAGTATGAAACCTGAACATTTTGTGATTATTTTTATGACTGGTCAAATCGACATATAAGAAATGTATTGAGTTAAACGCTGACTATGTTGAGAAAAGTTACTACTGCTCGTATTTAGCTTATGACGTCGGTAACGTCAAAATATTCGTTTTAGTGCTCCGGGTATGAGTGTGTGTCTTTTTTGTATCTAATAAAATTATAACTATTCGTGCTTTGTCTTTTTGAAAACTTGCATATTCATAAAATGAAACATGAATTTAATGAAAATAATAGTTTTAAATATTTTGTCAATGTTTGTCCTTAATAATCAATGTTGTCCACGAACTTTACTGACAACCCTCGTATATTTACATAGTTACATGTTGAATTGGAAATATATATAAACACTATTTAAGAAAGAAATCCGGACCGCTCTAAAATAAGTCTGGTTATCGGGGTATATATATACTCAGGTGAGGTGCAATTTACATAATTGAACGAATTAATTACGCTAATTAATCACAACATTTAGTAAATCGTACATTGTTTCATTCTCTCAAAATGGCCTAACGATACTTGACAAAGAATAGTCAGATAAAAATAATATAGGGCCTAGAAGGGATATTTTAACATATGAATTATGATCTATTATACATTTTAAAATGTTTTAGGACTAATTATTGGGAAAAAGTAATTAATAAAGACGTAAGCTATACATAGTTATGTGGGTTGTTCGAGAGTTGGTAACGCAAAATAACTGTAGAGTTACACTTAATTGAAAGAATAATCTTTTTAAGTTTCAGCAGGCATTGGGTCTAATTCACGTTCATATTTTTTACGAACTTTTAATGTGTAACTACAATGATAATAAATGAAATGTAAATATACCAGATGTACAAAAGGTTACATGTAATTTAATTTTATAGATGCGATATCATAATTCAGGTGTATAGCAAACATTTAAACTTCGATTTAGCAAAATGTAAGGAATAACAAATGTTTTTTTTTAACTATATAAGCATGAATTTGAAAGGTATTTAGTTATTCAGTTTCACTTGTACACCATTCGATACTGAAAATCAATTCAACACTCTTTTTTGTTTTCTGGTTATAACTTAAGAAAAATAAATGTCTTATAACCCGCTGTTAAATTAGTTTGAATTTCTCGGGATCAAGAAATCAAGGAAATCAATTATTCATGTACATGTAAATCTTTGTCGAATGTACAGTTGAATTTAAGAAAAAAATATAAATGTTCTCCGAGCGAACCCGGGAAGCGAACCCGGGGTCTGCTCCGGGTTCGCTCTGGTGTTAGGTTGTGTCCGGTCGGTACTGTAACGGTAATCCTAATCAGGTATTGTCTGCAAGCTCAATCGCCATGCTTGATTGCATTGTTTACCTCGAGGCGATAGATGATTGACACGCCGAGAAGCCAAACTTTGGAGGTGATAATAATCATATTACAACTACTGGGGTAACAATAGTTTAATTAAATTATAATTGGCAGAACTTTCTGTCTTCCGAACATGTGCAGTACTGGTGTGTATAAAAATTCCAATGACCCTTCCACATTACGTAATCGCGCGTTCAGGTTTACATGTACTTATGTTAAAGCTTGAACACACACAACAGATGATATTTAGATATCCTTTAGCGCATAATAAATTTTAGCGCCCAGGAGCTCTTGCGCCAAAGGCGCTAAAATTAGTAGTGCGCCAAATATTCTCGATTTACAGTATTATTATTTACATATATTTTAAAGGCCATTAAATCTGATTCAATGTCTCCTTCGCGTCTTTATTGATACAGTTTTGTATATTCTGTATTTAATTGATATTGCCGTATGTTTGTATGCAAGTACATTGAAAGGTCCTAATGAATCGATCTAGTGAATGAGCATACGCTCAATTGATCCTAGTTAGCTTTTACAAATCATCCCTAGTAGTATAAAGGTGTCTGAAAAGTGCTGCTATGTTATTATATCAATATTCCACGCCAATGGCCAGCAAATAATACAGCATTTGGTCATTAAAGTATGATTTTAACAATAAAATTGTAGAATCTATTTACAATGCGTTTTGAAAATATTTATAAACTAAATTTAGAATTTTAACTTGGTTATGCCCTTGCACTAGGGAAATTTGTAAATAACCTCGATACTGAAAGTAAAATCTGCTAAAATCACGTGAATGCCGCATCAAATGACAGGTCTCTAAATGTAAATGTTAAAAACTTATCATCCTCAATATTTAGTTATTCTCCATAAACACAATTATCCGATATAAATAATATACTAAATAATCTCCATCCAAATTTTGAATACACTTTTAATTAGAAAATATTGTCGCCTTTTCCATTGTGCACCTTTTGAATAGATAAAAAATCAAATACATGTGTACATGGTTGAAATTAAACATGAATACCTGTCCTTTGACTTTGTCAAAATGAGATCCAACGATGACAACTGGGGCATTACTATCACAATAGGTGTGGATAGATTTCAGCCAAAAGAGGATGTACCCTACATAGAATGAAAATTGATGGGATTTTCTCTGCGCTATTATTGCAAATTGTATCATGGGAGTTGTGTTTTTCCTTTGAAGTAAAGTGTACTATAACTGGAGATACTACGAAGCGCCGTTTTGGTATTTACAGGCAAAGAGTGATATCATCTATTCGAAAAGATGATGTTACATATTCATTTCCAAAAGGTAATATCACTTATTCGAATAGCTTATATCACCTATTTCTATTCCTGATATGACCTATTGGAAATGAATAGGTGATAACACCTATTTGTGCCGAATAGGTGATATCAACTATTCGTGCCGAATAGCTGATATCACCTATTCATTTCACCGGAACCAAGAAAATTCAGACTGCCCACTTTTCACCAGTCCTAATATCCTACGTTATTGACTCCTTTAAAGTTATATATTTCTTCTCAAATTTCAACCAGCTGGCGTACAATGTGCAGAGTGGCATGCTTTTCACTCTTTATTACATAAGAGAGGCATTTTCTTATGTAATTTAATTAGTATGCGTTTTTCACGATTTTTCTTTATTCTTCTACTTTACATGATAGATAAGTGAAATAAACTACATGTATTGTATGGGCAAAACAGACTGCTAGTTCTACTGGTGTGCTTAAAACTAAATGCAAATTTGAATCCAGGAATTGTTTCCAAGAACGCTGAATTATAAATCGAAAGTGAAGGAAAATGAGATTTTGGGACATGAAATCCACATTTAGGTCTTAAATATCACACCTTTTGTAAAAGATCGTTTTTTTACGTTTTAGCAGAATAATGTAGATTCTTTAATATACGCGTGGCTTTAATTTTTACGTAATTTCGCCTGAAGCACCAGACGTGAAATGAAATTGCTCACCCTTTTTAATTGATACAGTCCATAGTTATCTGTGAATTACGAATACTTAATCAACTAATTTATCAGATATTCAAGATCGAGTCTCTCAGCTAAGACTCAACCATATTTTAATATTTTTCAAGAAAAAGCCCCTTTAAATCCTACAGAACATTTTTTACTTCGGTCAAATTTTAGTAGTTATCATACTAGATCAGCCGCAAATGCAAAATTTTGTTCGACCATTAATAAAGCATAATCTGAATTATTTTATTTAAATGAAATCAATGGCTGGAACATTGTACCAGCAGAAATTAAACCTGTTTTATATATCGGAAATAAGTTGTTTGAAAAAGTAATGTCAAGATTTTTTTAATTAAACTGTGTGAAAGTCAAGTCGTTTTCTTTATCATTTTGTTTTATTATTATTTTTTACGATCACAATCGTGTTAAGATTTGATATATATACTTGCAACATTTCATTTCTAAGGATATCTGTGTTGTCAACTTGATTCCATAATTTTGCTTAGTATTTGTATTTCTCTGTTTATTTTCTTTAACATCCAATATACGTGTTTGCGTATAAAGAACTTATTGGAAATAAACCATTGGCTTTCATGGACTATCCTTGGTATACAAATGTATGTTAATTATATGCATCTCTTTACAGAACTGATTGATCTTTCTGAATGTAAAATGAGAAAAATATACATAATTGCGCTCATATGATATGTTTAAAATATTGCAAAATCTAGATGGAATTTACATTATAAACAGAACAAGGAAAACATTTTTTCCCATAAATTTATATGCTAATTAAGGCACCGAAGTGACTTTCTAATCAACTAATTAGATGAGTTGCATTACCAGTGGGTATTACTAGAAAAATTAAAGTCCTAAAAAGGGGTTCCTTTTGCTTCCTTTCCAAAAGAAAATTATATACTCAAATCGATAATGGACAAACTGCTACATGTATTCCCGAGTATCAGTCGATATCAAATTTAATTTAATGACTGTGCATTGTTTGGTCCAAAACGATAGCCGGAACACATGTTAAGGTTCCAATGATAATGTCATGTATAGCCAGACAACTTTGATGTAACCATCATTTTTGCCCTGGAAATAATTAAAGCAAACAATGGAAATGAGTCTTGATCATCAAACTGCTTCGAAGACATGATAAAGACATGTATCTTAATGATTGAAACTAAAGTCGAGACTGATTCATTGTATATAACTTAACGTCCCTCTCAAGAATTTTTCACTCATATGGAGACGCCACCACTTGCCGATGGATAGCTGGAAATTTTGGCCTATACTCGGCACTCAGGGCCATTGGGCAGGGAGGGATCTTTTTCGTGCCAGGACCTACTGCGATACGGGACCTCGGTTTTTACGGTCACATCCGAAGGACCGTTCTCCCCGTCCCACAGGAGTATTTCAACCCGCGAGGTTAGGATTGACGCCTTTCTTCGCGACTATAGAGCAGACCCTCTGACCACTGCGCTGAGCGGGCGACAAGATAGTCGAGATTTTTGAAAACTTCTATTCGGATAAAAATTCAAAGAAAAACTGATCTCTCTCAATTTTAATCAATTCCTCATGTAGATGTTGGCTGCATAAAATATAAAGAAAATTCCGACACCTGCATCACCTATTTGCAAAAAAATATATTTCACCTAAAGTATACAAAACACGAACTGTGTAAGGTACTTTTTTTGGGGGACAGTAAATGATAAGCAAATTTAAATATAACATATGAAATACAATTGTCTACGAATACATTCTGTATCTCCTAGTTTATAAAGGTAAAGAACATTTTGAAGTATTATCTTTGCAGATGACCTTTAATTAAGGAATGTTTTTTTAGTTTTGTGTGAGTTATTGGTATGTGAATCACACAGACTTGTCACGTAGGCATATTTCATGAAGCACGCTAGCGTTTCATGAAAAATATGCCTATGTGCAAGTCTGTGTGATTCTCACACCAATAATTCACACTAAACTGAAAAACATTCCTTATATTTACATTTTACCTGTTTGGAGGCAAATAAAATATACTCAATATTTGAATTTCTCGCTGTCCTATATTATTGCATTTTACTAACGTCGCTGCAGTCTCATTGTGACATCACATTAATGCACGTTTCTCCGTGTATATTTCTACGCGTGAGTATACAAAATGTACACGAAAATGTTTTTCAAAACAATTTCACAGTAAGCTTACTAGGAAAACATAGCGTTTCAATTTTGAAATGTAGTAGACATAATGTGTAAAACCTCAAGCCCGTGTCCGTGATAAAATATGAACATCTAGTAAACCGGTATGATTTGTCATTTATTCATCGGATTGGGAAATTGTTCTCTATAGACAACTCTATGTTCGAAATTATTAAGATTCCATAGAAACATATTTTCCTCTATTTTACTAAGAGCCGCCCATTTTATTTGTCATTATTCCTAAAAGTGCATACAATCACAAAACAGGTCGATTGTGATATCATATGGTCAAAAATCCATGGTTTATGCAGAATTCTTCACAAGAACTAATGACACCCTCAGAAGGTGTCAATTTTCTTTACTCCTGTTTGAAAATAACAAGTGGTTGTAGATTTAATGTAATTAATGTAGAGAAAAAAGGGCCCCAGACTGTATTTTTGTTCTGATCCTGTCATTTATTTGATTTAACAATCCATGTCTACATTTATTTAAACAGCTGTATTTCCGACTTCCCTTCACATGAACACATATAAAATGCGCGTAATAAAAAGACTGACGGATAAGAGAGGTAATCCTTGGGGTCAACTGACAAAGACTACATTTTATTTGGTGTAATTAAAAATCTTGCCCGGAAATGTTAAACATGATTGACGTATAGATTGAGAAAGTTATTGAATATTAATTATTGTGTTTCCTGATTTATTTGGACGAAGTGGCAGGGACTCGTAATTTGCAATCGCCACAACGCTTTGTCTAATTAAATTAGAATGCATCATAATAAATATACATTATCTATAATCACTTAATAACGTTTAAATTTTGTGCCATGTTAAGATGTACTGGTATATCGTATATAGTCCTTAAGGATGTCCGATCCTCAGCCACAAAGGATAACTCCAAAAATTAATATTTAATTTGAAATACGTCAAAATGGAGCTTGAAAATGAAATTTTTCATGCAACAATTTGCATTTTATTCATCTTTATAAGATTCAAGGTCTTCAGAAATCTTAGAAAAGGTCTTAGAAAAGTTTATATTTGTACCCTATAAAAGGAGAAAAAATTAATACAGTTGTAGAGAATAAGTTTTTCTTGAATCCAGCCTTAGATAACAATGCTTATTAGCATGATATGGTGAGAAGTGATTTGTGGTGTCTTGCAATGAAAGCAAAATCCTTTTACACTATGTATTATAGAATACATGACGGAAATGAACGACAAAAATACCAAATAAGTATAAAAATCATGACAATTTCTCTGAATGCCTGGGTACCTATCGTTTTTTAACCTAAATATATTTGTTGATCAATTTACAATTAGAAAATGTATTACTGTTAATTGCTGGTATTCCTAATTGTTTTTTTTTTGTGCCAAAATATTAGAGATTTGACAATTTTCACGCTATAATATGATTAACTTTAATCTTGAAACTTAAAGAAATACTGTGGATAAATTTACATAACTTTATCGATTTAGAGATACTTTTATGAGTATTTTTGATAACTTAGCTGCTAATTTTATAAACCTGAGGATCGGACTACCTTAAAGTAAATCCAACGTTTAATTGAGCTTTACTTTATTTCATCAGTTTTGTATCAGACACAGAACCTTTAATGTGGTGTTTAAGATTACAATTGTAGCATGTTCATCTATCATAAAGAACAAGATGTGTTTGTGAAACACTATGTGCTTAGCAGCAAATACTGTAAACCAAGTATTATACGCGTGCGATAAATATCCGCGGATATTTATCGTCGCGAACCAGTTGTTCATTATATTCCCATATCATGATTTATTTACAGTTATTTGCCCTTTTTTCAATACCGATCCCGACGATTCAACAAGTTATCACCGGGGAAAATATGTTTCAAACTTTTCCGGTCACAATGAAACATAAAAATGCTAACGATGGAATAGCACTTTATTATAAACGTAGGTCGGTAGGGCGAATTCTGGACATCCAAAAATTGCACCCGAACAATCCGAAGCCTAGGAGTTAACTGATTAACAATGATTCATGTAACATATAAATAATAAATTATAACAATGGCAATTAGCACAATACTGAGCATGAGTGACATATGGCTTAGATGGAATACCGTATAGCGGGTAATTTTAGCGGGGTGCTAATTTTGGCGTTTTGATGTTGGCCCGCTAAAATTTTAATCGCTTAAATAGTAAGTTCATAGTAAGTTCTCGTTTAAGTGTTCATCTGAAAAGAGCTGAAACACTGTGTCCGCTAAAATAAATTACGTCAAAATTAATCGCATACCTTTGAGCAGGTAAAACGCCAAATTTTACACCCGCCAAGAAAACCCGCTATACGGTAACTCATGACATGTTGAGTAATTTGATCAAATAATTAATTTTCAGATTTGGAGTTACATAGTAATTAACATAATTAAAGTTTCTCAAGTTGTTTAAAATAATTACAGTAAATTACGAGTATATTTCAATGTCAGCTAAAATGTCACTAAAATTGTTTTTCTCAAAAATCACACCGTGATAATTCCCTCTCGCTTCGAAAAAGAGACGTCCTCGTCTCAGGAATATCCAAGAACTGAAATGTGGAGCACTGTGTTGTTGGTTTCAGTAAAAAGAATGCTTGGCGTAGGAAGCGGTAGGAACTGATGTTGAAAACACGTTTGATTGAGTTGCATGATCGGTCTTCGTTCTGCAATTTATCGTCATAATCATTTATTCTTCTCGAATCCCTGCGCCGGTTGCTTACGGACTTGGTCTGCGGACAATGTATGCTCTTCCTTTGCGTCTCCGCAACAGCAACACTCATCGGACTAGATTTAGTAGCAGTCCGAGAAAAACACACACCTGCAGTAGAATCGCATGTTGTTGCTGACTTGTTGTCAGACGATCCTACAGACGGGTTTCCCAGGTTTGTCTTCAAGCAGGCCCGTCCTGATCCCTTGGCTTGATCCTTTTTGATCGGTGCGTGATCGATGGACGCCACTGGAAATGATTTCCTTTGGGAGGAACGGTAAGGTGTGGTTGCAGAAGAGAAACATACTTGCACATATTGACCATGTTTTCCGCGCACGAAACACTCGAAAGGTGTAGCTGGACACGTAAGAAGGTGGCCATGGAAGAAGGGTTTCCCGCACCTATAGCACCGTGGACTGGATCCTGTTGTCGAGAAAATTCGTACTGGTCCTGGTGTAATCCAAGGACGCGAAAGACAATGGCGCTGGATAGATGTTGGGGAGGAGCGGTAAAATCCTTTTCTCCAGGTTGGCATGGTGTTGTTGAAGATGGGTCGTCTTGGGGGAACTCGCTTAGTTGATGGTACTCAGGATCAAACTGCTACAAAATATATGCAGCAGTCCCGGGTGTTATACCCTTAGGATTTCTCCACCAAATTATCATCGGGGAAAATATGTGTCAAACTTTTCCGGCAACAATAAAACATAAAAATGCTAACGATGGAATAGCACTTTATTATAAACGTAGGTCGGTAGGGCGAATTCTGGACATCCAAAAATTGCACCCGAACAATCCGAAGCCTAGGAGTTAACTGATTAACAATGATTCATGTAACATATAAATAATAAATTATAACAATGGCAATTAGCACAATACTGAGCATGAGTGACATATGGCTTAGATGGAATAACTCATGACATGTTGAGTAAATTGATCAAATAATTAATTTTCAGATTTGGAGTTACATAGTAATTAACATAATTAAAGTTTCTCAAGTTGTTTAAAATAATTACAGTAAATTACGAGTATATTTCAAAGTCAGCTAAAATGTCACTAAAATTGTTTTTCTCAAAAATCACACCGTGATAAAGTAATCACCGAAGAACTTGACTGTTAGTGTACAAGAAGCAGTTGAAACTTAATTACAAACATTCAGAAAAAATAAAAACGAATGGCAAATCTAAAACTATTTGTCTAAAAATGATTAATATGTCAATAATCATTTCAGCATGTGTTATTATTGTTCATTTATTGTTACAGACGAGCAGAGATAGCCTGGTTAATTACGGCTAATTATGGCCCAGTCCTGCTCTGTCCCAACCATTTATAATAATTGCCCCCTTGGCTATGTAGATCTTAAAAAGCGTCGATTACCCAATAAGTATGAGGCACTTTTACAATTGAGAGTTTTAAATCAATTTTCATCTCCTAGATTTTTCCCGATTTTCGTTTGAGCGTTTTGAAAATGCGTATGAAGTATACTCATGGTAAACATTTTACCCACTTTAGGGGCGGATATAAGATTTTAAATGAACGCAATGCACAGAATGTCTTGAATAATGCGTAAGCAGACCTCACGCTACCATTTTACCTAGTTTATGAACGGATATAAAATTTTAATTTGATTCAAAAATACTCGTGGAAATAAAAAAATGTGACCACTCGTTCGCGGAAATAGATCGTCGCGGATTAGTTCTCCAGCGGTCAGTCGCGAATAAAAAATGATGCGTATAATAATTGGTTTACAGTAAGTGAAAAAAATTTTTTTTAGCATTTATGTCACAGTTAAGGTCATAACGTCGTTGATCTTGGAGTCATTGAAAGAACTTAATTAGTGGAGTATGCGTACCAAATAAGTTCTGATTCACAGATTACACCGAAATTTTGAAAAGGCTTTTTTTGGTCTGTAGCTCACAGTCAAGGCCATCACGTGATCGATGTTGGTCTTGGTATCGTTTTTAAGAACGTTATTAGTGGAGTATGCATACCAAATATGAAGTCTATACCTCTCAAAGGTTCAAAAGTGATGGCGAAAAACAGACAAACAGATAAACAAACAAAAAGACAAACATACCTAACAAAACAAAATACGCCCGGATCTATCGATCCAGGCGCATAAAAAATTCATTAAATATTTATCCCTTACCCCCATAGGTCCAATCTGCAAATATTATTCCTTCCTGTTCACACAGTGCTGAGTCGACTTTTTCATCAAATGACTTAGACATATCAATCACCAGTAGATAGAATGCCCTTCTGCTGAGATACACCTGGTGACAGGCGTAATATGCACACTGTCCTCCAAAATCCATTACACTCAAAAGTTGCTTCCCTTCCTTATCTGTTCCATCGGCCACATCTTATTATAAAATTTTGAAAGTCTCAGATGAGAATGAAGCTCTGATGTTTTTTGTTAATTAACACAGCTATATATACAGCAAAGAATTCAAAGAAACAAGATGAGTTTGTGAAATATTATGCGCCCAGAAGCAAAAAAAATTTTTTAAAAAAGCTATTTTTTGCATACAGGTTACAGTCAAGGTCACAAGGTCATAAACCTTGGAGTCAATTGAAAGAACTTGTGAATAGTGGAGTATGCATACCAAATCCCTTATGCTTTTTCTATCTCTAATGGTTTGAAAATTATGGCAAAGGTACGAAAAAGCATTTTTACCTACAGGTCACATTTAAGGTCTCAGTCATTGACCTTAGTGACTTTTGAAAGAACCTACTTATAAGTAGACTTTAATAAATGGTTTAATAAATGGATTATGCATACCAGATGTGAATCTCTATCTCTCCTGGTTTAAGATGAATGGGAAAGAAGGTTCAAAAAGCAATGTTTAGCATATAGGTAGCCAGGTCATTGAACTTGGTGTCATTTTGAAGAGCTTAACAAGAGAGGTACGAGTACTTAATATGAAGTCTCTATTTTTCAAAGGTTCAAAAGTTATGGCAAAGATTAAAGTTTGCAGACAAAAACTTTTTTAGCATGTAGGTCACAGTAAAGGTCGCAAGGCCATTGTCCTTGGTCTCACTTAAAAAGCGTATCAGTGGAGGATGCGTATCATGTCTCCATCTTTCATGGTTCAAAAGTTATGACAGACAGACAGGACAAAAGCAAAATACGCCCCGAATTTGTAAATCTGGGCTTATGAAAATATTTTTATATCTTTTTCTATATCTATATTTCTATATCTATACCAAGAGATCCATGGGCCACATCGCTAACCTGAGTAGCTTTTGTGATAAAGAATTAAGGACGTTAGTTATTATACAGAGGCCCAGTATTTTCCGTAATATAATATACAGGTTTGCCAAAATTTTAAATCTATGTGCATGTGCTAGATGATTGGTACATGTAGTTTTAGAATATGCGAAACAAAATTTCCACACTCTGTCATTTAGACGTATAGACCACGTTTAAAGATCCGGGTTTTTTTTCCCGGATATTGCTAGTTTTTCCACTACTTTCGACAGATATTTCAAAAATTGAAGTAGTGCAAATTAAACACATATATTTCAAAAAATTTTGATAAAAGACAGATGAAAACCGGGATAAGATTCTGCTCGAGGAATGTGCAGTATGTTTATTTTGACTTTACAGTACTATTTCCGGTGACGGATTGAAAGTTCATTGAGAGGTGTATTTTTATTTATGTGAAATTATATGACTATAGTTCATAAAATATGTTAATAAATTAATAATCCATGCATCGGCAATATATTTATTTTTCGTGTAAGTCTATTTGTCAAGAAAAATAGCATACAAACTTGAAAATACGAAAGAAGAATAAGACAGATGACGATGGGCCCTGCGATGTGTAGGCGTAACCTGCATCTGACAAACATTTCCAATAAGGACCAAGAACCACTGAAAACGCTAAATTAAAAAAAAAATCAATTGATTTATCGTATTGGCACAGAAGAAGAAAACGGGTTTGTATTTTATGCCAAAGGTGTTAATTTTATTTAAAAAACTGAGAAAGTTAATTAAGCTAACTTCAACTGATGTGAATAAATTACGTAATAATAACAAAGATGACGTCACAATAGATCCCCTTTGATTTTCTTATGATTTATTATTTTTTTATTCAAAACACTTATAATATAAAATATAATCCTTTGCAAAATCTGTTCAAATTAATCAATATCGAGATTTGAGTCGATGGTGCGATGTCGCGATGGTGCGATAACGATGAAGCGATGGTGCGATAGCGCGATGACGGTGATGCGATGGCGCGATACTGCGATGACGATGAAGCGATGATGCAAAGGAGCGACAAAGCGATGACGCGATGGCACGATACCGATGGTGCGATGGTGCGATAGCGATGATACGATAACGCGATAACGATGAAGCGATGCTGTATCGTGCCATCATCAGTGCTCTATCGCACTATCGTCATCGCATTATCGCACTATCGCGCTATCGACTCTTGTGCGCATGCGCCAATGAGAGTAGAAATGGCGTCAGGTTGTGAAGATATGAACAGAATATATATCAGAAATAGATCTTACTGGGTTAATAAACATCACTTGAGCACTAAAATTAACCATGTCATAATACCTTGTTAGAAGATTGTTAAAATATAGTTTGATAATCAAGATAAATTCAACAATACACTCATCTTGTGACTGATGTAAAAGAAATCGAAATCCGCGTGATCTAGATTTTGGTTTTTAAAAGAGAGGGGAGGGGGGTTAATTAATGCTGTAGAATGGAAAATAATTACGATGGTTTTAGCTTCACTATGTTCGCGATTCATCTTTTTTCTGCAAAATTAAACCCATCGTGAATGCTATTAACTATTTAAAACGAGTAAATGCTTATACGAAATTCAAATTAATTTCTTGCATCGTGAAATCAGGAACCTATATACTAGTATATAGGTCCCTGGTAAAATTAAAACCATCGCTATTGTACTTTCTGAGAATTCGTGAAATTTTAACACCGTAAAATGCAGTATTCACAATCAAGAAAATTAAAAGCAAACACAAAACAAAAGTCTTCCTCCCTCTCTCCTCTTGGTACATGTACTTCGTGTTTGTTATTTAAAATATGATTATCAAATACAAAATTAAAGTCAGTTTATAATCACTGGGCAATCAAATATTTGCTCGAATTTTAACTACTTATGGTGATACTCATGGAAACTCTTCTGTATAGACCCAAAGAAGAAATATGATTTCTTTATTATCGTATCCGTTAAAGAAATATTCTTGAATCTTTTCATCAACAAACGCCATGTTGTACAATGACTGCTGGGAATGCCATCCTATCTATATAGTCGATAGAGCGATGGTGCGATGACACGATATCGATAGCACGATAAAGCAATAACGATGGCACGATACAGCATCGCATCATCACTGTCGCACCATCGCATTAGCGCTATCGCACCATCGCTATCATGCCATCGCGTCATCGCATTATCTCTACATCGTACCATCGCATCATTGTCGTCGCGCTATCGCGCCATCGCATCATCATCATCGCGCTATCGCACCATCGCTTCATTTTCATCGCATTATCGCGTCATCGCATCGTCGACTCAAATCTCGATGGTACGATGATGCGATAGTGAACTGCATGGCCCTATCCGGATTCTATAATATCCCACATTTTAATTTTTAAGCATTATTATGTCAATGGAACATAAATATTAATAATATATCGATGTTTTACCTCTCGCAAATTTTTCACTCATTTGAAGATTTGCTATAAGGAGCAATTCTGGTTAAAATCAGATTTCTTTTTCGCTCCGAAATTCTGATAGTCGCAAGGTGTAAAGCAACTATAAGAATTTCAGAGCATTATAAAGATCTGAAATAAACATTGAACGCAAGTCGTAAAAAATACCAAGGTTCTATATATTTGCAGTTAGTAAAAATGATGGTAGATCAGTCTGCAATTAAAGAATGTGCATCACATGTAATCCACGAAAAAGGGGAGGTCGGTTTCGGGGGGCGGGGGGTACTAACCATGATTCAATAATGCTGAAAATCCAAAGTAAAGGCGGATAAATGATTTCAAGCGACTTTTCAGAAGGGAAATTTTCAATGCTTATTACTACCAAAAAAGAATCGTAGCTCCTTTGAATGTTTTTTGCATATCCTGATGTTCTTTTTTTGTTTGTTTCTCATCAAAGTGGAAAAAAAATATGTTCACGTATATGCATATGCATGCAAAAGTATTCTCAAAAAGTAAAAGCCGAAACTGAAAATTGTGTTTTGTTAATTTATATACATGGTATCAATAAACTTGAATTTAAGATAGCCGTCTTTATCATAAAATCATCATAATTATGCACGAACAATATCGTATGCAGTTGATTCATACATATATAATGTATGTCCTCGTGTTTATTTTCTATTAACAAACTTACACTGTATACACACACAAAAAAAACCAAAGAAAAAATTGAATGAAAGGAAGATATAACGTTCATTCAGAATTTTAAGATTAAAGGATGTACACCTACCCCAAAAAATTCCTGTCGTTTAATTTTCGTTATTTTGTATATTTAGTACATGACTATATCTACTGCATGTATGCACATTTTTGACAAAATCGTTCGAGTGGTTTTCGGACAGGAAATTCCAAAAGTTACCCCCCTTTGATTGTTTACAAGGAGAGAAAATTTTTAATCAATGAACTACTTAAACATTGATTTTCAAAAAAGCCAGGTTAGATATAATTGTCAAATGTCATTGACTTATTCCTTTAACCATTTAACACAAAATCATAGTCATCTTTTTGAAATATATGTCATCAAATCAATTTTTAAAGACCTTAAACTGAAAAACTATGAATTATCTAAGCCTTGAAAATTGTTTAATTTTCAAATTAAAAATTTCTTTGTGAAAAATCCTGTCGTTTAATTTTGGTGAAAAACTTTTTTTAGATAGCTGGTAGTAAAAATAATATTCATAATTTTTTGTATAATTTTTTTACGACCAGTTTTGATTTAATAGCGGAAAATTACCCCCTCCCCCTTTCTCAATAAATCACATTCCCGCGCGTCTTTCAGACGGGAGTTACTTACTTTGCTATGAATCTACAAATACACATTTTAAAAAAATCAAATTGGAATATTGCTTTTGCTTCAAATACATATTAACTTACAAATTAAAAAGTTCTCATATGTAAAGCGTATTTAAATGTAGATTTTTAGGCAATTTTTGAATACCCCTATAACCCCCACCCCTTCCTTTTTGCTTCGCAGACCAATAGCGTTTGACGAAACGTCATTTACAGTGCAAATATACTAGTATTTTGTAATTTGAATGAATCCCGGAGGTAAGCATTAGTTTTTAAATTTATGAATGCAGAATAAATATTGGCGTCTGTTTTTA